TGATATCTTGAAGTGATTTCCACACCAGGATGCTGTACTCCAACATCTCAGTTTATTTGTTTAAGTTGCTTCTGACACCAAAAGACACAAATCCAGATGATAGATGTTTTTCTTCAAGACTCTGCACCCCATCAGGTTGGTAACTAATACCTTGTCCCCTCTCCAGATCACCAATATAAAACTAACCCAAGGGGTCTTCTTCTTAGATAATATCTGGGTCACCACTATTCTGACCACTAATTCGGGAACTCTGAGGGTGGGGGTCATATTTCAAAGCTCTTCAGGTCATTTTATTTTATGTATAGTTTGAAAAGCATTGCTCCAGGCTAAGCTATTTGTTTATGGACAAATAAAATTTTTCTAAGATTGAATAGTTACTTTATAAAGCTTTAATTTTCTACTCTTCTCCTCACACAAAAGCAAAAGGAAAGGACTAAGGATTGCCAGAGAAAGGAACGTAATGCAGAAGTTGGGAATAGTTTAGAGCTGGGTTTGAATCAATACTGTACAATACACAATTTAAGTCAACTTACACAACTTAAAAACATATCTTCCTGTAGCTACACTAGCGTATTTGACTGGTGGGCTAAAACACTGATTTGATGGAAACTCAATCAATGCATATAAAGGAGTGGAACCACATACAGCACTCGAGTGTAGCTGTTAAACCCTGAAGCTAATGCATCACGCTTTGAGCAACAGAGCTCATTTCTTATCCAAATATAGGTAAATGCATTCTGTTTCTTACAATTAAATCTATTTATATGCAGTTACTTTTAAAATGCAACAAACACCCCTAAATGGAAATGGTTTCACATAAATTGCTGCCTTAAAAAAAAAGGGTTTCAGAATGAGGCCAGGTGGCTTGGTACCATTTCACACTTTCAACACAAGGACACAAGGAGGTTTTCAGTAAGGAAAAATGTGGAGAACAAATTTGTTCAGTGTCTACTGTGGAAATAAGGGATTCCTTCAGCCCAATCCAAATAATAATCCCACACAGCTCCCAGAAGATAAACATGAAGAGACAAGGAAACCTTTAGTTCAGACTCTTAATTTTCTCCTGCTTCTCTGTGTTTCTTACCCCTAGCGACTCGGGAAGGGCTGCTGGTCAACCCAGTGTGCTCCTGCAGGAGGCACCCAAGCAGTTTTACTAGAGTAACTGCTACAGCACAGGCAGTGAGTGACTTTAATTCATGAGTAGCCTTTCCTATGGGTAGATCTCCTCAGAGAGGCTCAACTCTGCATTTGAAGCTGGGTTCAGAGTCACAGGGGAATCCTGGAGTGCATTCAGCCATATAGAAGAGTTGTAGCGAGAAACCCCAAGAAGTGTTTTACTTGGTTATAATTTCAGCTACTCCGCCCAAGGTTTCCTGGTTCCAAGACAGAAGCATCTTGGTGGAAGTGGGGAGACCGCTGGAGAACAGCAGCTCACCTCCCAGAAACCAGGAAAGGAGAGACAAAAAAGCCAGCAGCGTGAACACATCCTTCCAGGCTACCCCACGCCCAGCCCTCCTCCAACAAGCCCCACTTTCACCAGCACATTCAACTGTGAAGTCACCAGTGGACAAATCCACCAAGGAGCAGACAGGTCTTGCGATCCAGCCACCTTCCAAATGTATGAGACTTCTGGGGACTTTTCAGATCTCAGTTGCAATATAAAGTCCTTTTAGAAAATTGTAAAAATACAAGGTTTACTATAAGCTGTTATAAAAGAAAATAAAATATACATGAGGATAGAAATTAAAAAATATATATTTACAAATAAGAGAGAAATAGTTATCATGGCTAATCCTCCTGTGTCAGTTAATCTTAATTTTCTACCTGTGTGGATCGAAAGACTCCTTGGGGAGGTGGTTAGCTCATGGGGACACTGACTTTACTATGGATGATTCCACTGATGCTCAAGGTGAAGTACTGGTAGTTGCTCGACACCTCAGGAGGAGGTGGGGGTCACTGCAGTCCTGCCTTTGAAGGCTGGGTCCCCCTGGTGCTAATCCTTTGTGTGCCACTTCCTGGTGGCTAGAAAGTGCTCAGTCTTGATGTTCCTGCCTTGGAACCAGCTGATCATGGACTGAACCCCAGAAACTGCCCTGAGCCTAACTATGCCTCTTCTTTAAGCTGCAGTGTGGGGCATTTTCCACAAGCAACAACAAAACAGACCTATGTATCTACTCAGAAATCAGCTGAACATGTTAAATAAGCTTTTTATATTTTTATGTGAGATTGCTATTTCTAACATATGATGCAACATGCAATAGAAATATATATTCTATGATGCTAAGGAAATGCTTAGCATGGTGTTATTTAATAGTTAGAAAAAAACCTAAGTAAAGAAATAAAGGTCAGAAATATCTCGAAAAAGAAAAAAAAAGTTCTCATTTAACTGCATTTTCTGTACTGACCCTTTAAATCCAGAACCAATTATAAGCACAGTGCTGTTATCAATAATTGCATGCTGAGTGAGTAAAAGTTTAAAATGGCACTTTCAATTTCCATTTTACCAAGACAAGGAAGAAAATTAAGTGAATACTAATTAGTGTGTGTGCATTACACACCTGAAAGATTAAGCGAATACTATCCTCATTATACGTCATTTAAGCAAAGTACTCAAATGTTTCATTTAAAGGACTCAACACAAATAAAAGGATTAGGTTGGTTTCTTTTACATGAGAAACTCAAATAATAAACAGAAAGCAAAATGAAAGGCAGATAATAAGAAGTAATGAGATAGGTCTTTCACCAACAGGAAGGAGACCAAGAGCTGGAGGAAGGGAATGGAAACAGGTGGAAAGGAACCGAGCCGGGTTGGGCCCCTGTACCACACCCGCAGAGATTGCAGACCTTTGGGAACACAAATATTCACTAATAAAGGTAAAAAAAAAAGAACACTTATACTCAGAAAATTTGGTATAGTATTAATCATCTTGGAGTCTCTTAAATGTGATCTTCCTGCATGCAATTTATAACATTTTCTTTTCAGGAAATGACAAAGAAAATAAAACAGTATTAAAGAATCCAATATATATATATATGTACTTGAACATGATTAACAGTGATAAGTTTTTGGCTTTTTCACTCATTCCTGTAATATAAAACCTTTTATATTTACTTCTGCTGTTTTTCTATAAAACCTCATCATCATATTCAAACAAAAGCAAATTATCATTGCAATCATTACCAGCATCATTTACTCACTGGCTGTAAAAGTAAGTTTTAAACTATTCTGCTTAAAATGACAGGCAAAGTTCTATTAAATCTAAATTTCTCTGAGATGATCACTGTCTGCACCACTGAGCTTATCTTCCCATTGTGAGTGGGAAAAAGAGAATTTAAAGTCCATACTTAGAAAGACAAAATGACGTGTTATATAAACTAGGCAATAAACTTGGGCAAACCAAGATTAAAAACTAATCAAAACATTAAATATTAACTTTTAAAATTTTATCGTACCTGTAATTTCACAAATCATTTCAGAATACAGCTGTTCACCACAATGGCTAAAAACATCTCTGGAATAAGTATTGCATATAAGTTTCTTCTATTTTGTATCTACTTTAAAATTAACTGGGTCTTCATTTTGTTTTTTATCAGTACTGTATAGATATGTTATTCTACCTTTTGGAATTCTTTCCATACATATGGCTATAGACAGAAAGTCAAGTGTAATTTAAGAAGCAATTTCCATAAATGCATTCAAAGATAAATTCATAAAATGAATCAAGAATGTTGGCCCACCATGTATCACTGCTTAGATAAAATAAATCTCTGTGAGATATGTAAAATTTCTTCAACAATGGAAACATTTAAAGATTTCAGCCCTGCTCCTAAAGTATGAAAGTCTAGTTACTTGGCTATAAATTAATTTTCCTTTCAAATAAATGCTGGTAAAGCAACCCTTACAAATCACACTGAATAATGTCAAATCAGAGATTTCCATGATTCTCTGGCACAAAATATATAGTAAACAGAGACAACGGATCAGTCACCTAAGCTAAGCAAAGTCCTGTGTAATAGTCCCTGAGCCAATGGGAAAAGGCCTAACATTTGGTGTTACCCTATGGCACAGCAAACGAACAAATCCCTCCAGCAATCTTTACTTGTTACAATTTTCTACAGCATTCTCCACGGATTCAGATGTCGCACCTTTGATTACACCATTCCTTCAGCATCTAGTCTCTAAGGCAATCAATCTTCCCAGGCTGCCCTCAGAAGCTATCTTCACCAAATGACTTTCTCAGGACAATTTCTTCCTCCTCACTGGAGGAATACACACACTGATCTTTGCTTTAGGCTACATCCATGGGACTAGTCTGTTATTAACATGCAATGTCCACACCAGACCTACAACCTTTCTCAGAAACCACTTACGATTAGCTTTGTGTTCTACAACTTCTCCTTTATGGCTGCACTTCATCTAAGCACTCAAAATCCCTTTAGAAAAAACAAAACCAGAGCATCCAATTTTCATGTTATTACTCCGTGTGTAATCACTGGGAAAATACTTACTATCTCAGCTTTTTGTTATATTCTCTTTCAAAACCCAGCTAGGGTGATAAGAATACTGCACATCATACTATGAACAGAAGCATCTTATAGAAAGAGTGTGCTGATAACCTTTGGAAGCATCACCATCTCCATTCTACATTTAAATTTTCAACCCGCAAAGCCACATTTAGAGACAGAGAAGGAACAGATGAGAGTTTTCTTCTTGTAATACAGTAAGTTGCTGTCTGAATTAACATGCTGGGAGTGAACATGTGCAGAAGACAGACTTTCCTTATTATATCTCAAGATAGTGTTTGTACAGCTGAAGGATTTTATCACTCTAATCCTTGCAAAACTCTTGCTAGTGGGGTATGTGTTTTCTTCGCATTCTTAGTGTGTAGCCATATTTAACCCTTCTCTGCATTACCCATTCTGGGACCATGAAAAAGAGCCACAGTGGCCCCTTCTTGTCTTTGGGTGCTTGGCCAGAAAGTGTGTCCTCCCGCTCATACCTGAATCCACGGCCATCTGTCATTTTCTGCGGCTGTCCAGGCGTTGATAAGCCCCTTCTTATTAAGCCGTGCGTAGTAGGGGTACCACTTCTGGAGACCAAATAGAGCTCGGTGGGTAGAGGAAGCTGTGATTTGCTGATTTGATATGATTCCCCCTTCTATTCCCAATGGGCCTGAACATTCTGGAACAAATCAGAAAAATAAAGCAAACAGATTAGAAATACCACAGACAAAATGTTTCTAGAATGACTTTAAATAGAACCAAAGGGCACAGATCCGGTCTTAGTCACTATGTTAAGGAAATAACTGTTGCTCCCCATGGTACCTTCTCGTTCCTTTGCTTTCAAAGAGGCGCCAGACTACACTCCCACCAACAGTGCAGCAGAGTTTCTTTTTCCCTTTTCTTTTCTCAACAGCATTTGGTGTTGATGGTTTTCTTGATGCTGGCCATTCTTTCTGGAGTGAGATGGAATCTCAGCATGGTTTTAATTTGCATATCTCTAATGACTAATGATGATGAACTTTTTTTATGTATTTGTTCGCCATTTGTATTTCTTCATCTGAGAAGTGTGTACTCATCTCAGATGCCCATTTTTGGATTGGATCTTTGAATTTTGGGGGTCTGATTTTTGAAATTCTTTGTATGTTTTTTAGACAGAAGTCCTTTGTCTGAGGGACAGTTCACTAAACTTTTTCCCAGTTTGTGGGTTTTCTTTTCACTATGGTGGAAAATTCTTTTGACATGCAGAAACTTTTTAATAAGACGTTATCCCAGTTATTGATTCTGGGACATATTTCCCATGTGGTTTGACTCCTGTTCAGGAATTCTCTACCTACCCCTATGTCTTCAAGGTTTTTATCCAATTTGTCTTCCAATAGATTTAGTGCTTCTGTTTTAATATTCAGGTCTTTGATACATTTAGATTTTATTTTAGTACATGGTGTTAGGCATGGGTCTAGTTTTAGTTTTCGGAATATGGAGACCAGTTTTTCCAATACCATTTATTAAAGGGACTGTTGTTCTTCTAGTGAACATGTTTGGCCCCTTTATCAAAGATAAGGTGGTGTAGTGTGTTTGTAGTTGTGGTTGTATCTTCTAATCTATTCCATTGATCTTCGGCTCTGTTTTGATTCCAGAACCATGTTGATTTTACTACAGTTGCTTTGTAGTATGACTTCAAGTCAGGGATTGTGATACCTCCTGCTTTGACTGTGCTGCTTAGAACTGTCTTTGCTGTTCTAGGTCTCTTCTCGCTCCAGATGAATTTTAGGAGTGATTTCTCTAGATCAATGAGGTACACTGATGGTATTTTTATTGGGATTGCATTGAATCTGTATAAGAGTTTTGGGAGAATGGCCATTTTTACAATATTTATTCTCCCTATCCGTGAGCAAGGGATGTCTTTCCACTTTCTAAGATCATCTTCAATTTCATTTTTCAGTGTATTATAGTTTTCCCTGTATAGGTCTTTCACTTCTTCTGTGAGAGTAATTCCTAAATATTTCATTTTTTTTTGGTTGCTAGTATGAAGGTTATGGCTTCTCTTATTTCTCTCTCTGTGATTTTGTTGTTAGTGTATAAGAATGGTATTGATTTTTTGAGTATTGTGTAGGTCAGTCTGGAGATTTCTCAAAAATCTGGGATTGGAAGCCCCATTTGTTTCAGCTATTCCATTTCTAGGCATATTCCCAGAAGAACTGAAAGCATCATACCACAGTGATATACGTTCACCCATGTTTATAGCAGCACAATTTGTAATAGGCAGATCTTAGAAACAACATAAGTGTCCATCAAGTGGGGAATGGATAAAAAAGTTGTGGTATTTTTATACAATGGAGTACGCAGCTATAAAGAAGGATCACATTGAGATATTTATAAATAATTGGGCGTAGCTTGAGACCATACTCATAAGTGAAATAAATCAAATTCACATGCATGAATACCAAATAGTTTCCCTAATGTAAGAAATGATATAAATACATAAAATTATGTGGTAATCATGATTCCCCATTGTATGGCTTTGAAGCCTTATAAAGTTTTCACTCATTAATTGGAATGGTTTTATTCTGGGATGTTTGATTTTATTGTCTGTGATGATATGAACAGCTATTTTGAAGAAAACAAGAAATCATAATAGCTAGTGCTGATTTAATATCATCTTGTTTTGAAGTCCCATCAAGCTGTTGTTCTTCTGTCTCCATTGGTTTTATCATGTTGTATCTTATTGGATTTTATTATATGTGATAGTATAAACAAAATTTTTGCCTATATGCAAAGAGATAATATAAAAACCATTGTTTGTTTTCTGTTAGCTGGTTCTAAATATCCTGTGATAATTTCATTCTCTTGAATGGTTTCACAATGTCTTGATATGTTTGATGCTATCATATATGACATTACACTCAAATATTTCAAGGAAAGAGACACTATGGTGACTACTATTATGTCAGGTTATCTTGTGGTGGAAGACTATATTGCTTAAATTGTTCTGTTCTGACCTGTTTTGTTATGTTGTTATGGCCTCTTTTATCTCAATCTCCCCTTTTTTTCTTTTTTTTAAAATTTATTTATTATTAGTTTTTTTTTTAGTATGGGAAAAATAAATAAAAAATAGCAGGATATATTGTAGTAACTTTTTTTGATTTCCTATTAACGTGATTTGAACCCCTGTATTGCTCTTACCATCTTGTTTTGACTGATTTTACTCTATTCTGTTTTGTTTGATAGTATGAAGTTTGACGGAATAGGCAACTACTTTGAAGGCAATAAGATTCACTATGAGGCCCACTCTGGTTTGACTATTACTTCTTTTGAAATCTTGTAAGGTCTCCTTAGGTTTTATTGGTCTTGTTCTGTACTGTTTTTTTTTTTTTTTTAATTTTATTACATCTGATGATATAGGCAATTCTTTTTAAGATAGCAAGAGGCATTAATGGTAACCATTGTTGATCACCTTGTTTTCTGTTTTTACACCATGTACTATGTCCATTCTTTTTATTTTGACTTTTATTTTATTTTGTTTTGTCACATTTGCTTTTATTCTCTTCCAAAAAAAAAAAAAAAAAAAGTAGTAAGAACTGTGGGAGTAATAAAACCCAAAATGTGTAATTTTAAAAAAGAGAGGAAAAGAAAGTGCTCTAAAAGATATAACTGTATGTATATTCAAGTGTGTAAGATAGATAACCATATTACTAATTTTTTGTTGGATCATTGAACAGAACTGTTTGCAATCTCACTGTTTGAATGTCCACTTTGTATACTTTAATTTTGTAAATTGAACAACTATTTCTAAGATCACAATATGTAATCTATTGACTAGTGATTTCTTACTGTTTACTTTTTTGAAATTCTGTATTACTTGTATCCTTTTACTGCTTTTTTCTCTTTAAATAAAATTAAACAAACAAACAAACAAACAAACAAAAAAAAAAAAAAACCAAAGGGGGGCCAGAATCCCAGATCCCTTAGGCGCCCTGGTTCTACTTTATGTGCTGTTGGTTTTGTGTTAGTTGCTCCCATCAGTGTGAGCCTAATGCTCTCAAAAGGGCAGTGTCTTTTCAATTACACAAAGAGAAGCTTTAAAGGGCCCATCTCATATTACATTCTCAGAGACAATAACCTTTTCTAAATCATAAACCTTATGCCGTCATGAACACTTGCTGATCTAGTATTTCTTAACTGGTGTACACCTGAATTTTGAGTCAAAATCATTCTTCCACTCACATTTTTCACTATAAATCTTTTTAAGATAAATTTTTATATCCAAGGAAGTTGTTCTTTTATCAAAGAGTCGACACATAAATCTGTCAACATATTAAAATATTAAATATGTATGATATATTGCAAATTAAAGAAAATAGCAAAATTATAACTGGGACAAAAGAATATATTCAGCAAGACAAGGTATTGAAATATTTTTCTTTGCAATATTTCAGTTCAAAATTTAAAACTTTCCTTTTAAAGTTTCTGTACTTGCTTCTTAACTTTCTTCTATTTTTCTGTAAATTTGGGACTTGGAAACCTAATATCATTTCATAGTAAAAATTGAAAACACCAGATTAAAATTAGGATTTTCAAATAATGTCTTCTGATATTTAACATGGTTAGCTCTTAAAAATTAAAAATGGAATTAATCTCATCTAAAATGTATATATACTTAAAGTATAGTTACATACATCCTATTTATTTAAATTCCTTAGTAATTTAAACCAATTTCACCAAATTTAGTTTCATCTTTGAAAATTCAAAATAGGTAAGATTATGATACATTAAAATTACACCTAGTTTCTTTAACATTTCTTACCTTATATTCACATTTTTGTCAGCATAAATTTGGATGATAAATGGAATAACATTAAACATTTTGCACACTATATTTACGTTGCTGTCAGTATGGGTTTGGATAATTAATATTGGATTTTTATTATGAAATTTATAATATATTATCAAAATTCCTGAAAAAGGGTATATTGTCACTATTAAATGCCAGTATATATAAACCAAGTTGACCAGTGATTGCCACCAAACACAATTTAAATCTTAATTATTTCTGTAATCTAACAGTCAGATTGTGGTTGAAAAAAATGCTATAATATTTTTTAAAGTTAGGAAGATATTTCTCACTGCTTACTGTATTATCATTTCCATGAATGTGCTTTTCTTTGTATTATATGGTAAAACAGTAAAAGGCTATGGACACAGTACTAACATTGAAATAACTGTTATAAAACATTTAAATATATTTTTATAAAAAAAGATGAAAATATATGGACAAGTAATAATTTATCTATTAGTATTAAATCTAGGCAATATTAGGATGATATTAACATGGAAAAATTTCATCTTTGCAGTTAACAATTAAAACATTCACTGGGTATATTAAATCCTGATAATAAGGAACATGAAATTAGGACTGTTCTGCTTCATGCATGTATTTGACATCATTTTGAAGTCATTATATTCAGAATTTATTCATGCTTAGAATTTTAATATTAGGAGCTGTGGATCATTATCTTACTTTCACATTCCAAAACCCTTCACAAAGAAAAACTCAAGTGTTGATCCTTTCTTGTATTGCTTCCTATGTAAAACTTTAATATTTGTGCAATCTTCTTAATAATAAGAAGAAACTTCGTCTTATTTGAAGGACGGCAGGAGTCTGTCTTTTGGGGCACACTGCTA